GTTCATGCACTGAGGCCAGTGTGGACGTGCCCTCCACTGTCTGTGGTTCATGCACTGTCACCAGCGTGGACATGCCCTGCTCTGGCTGTGGTTCATGCACTATTGCCAGCATGGACGCACCCTCCACTGTCTGGTTCATGCACTGTGGCCAGTGTGGACGCGCCCTCCACTGACTGTGGTTCATGCACTGTCACCAGTGTGGACGTGCCCTGCACTGGCCATGGTTCATGCACTGTCGCCAGTGTGGACGTACCCTGCACTGGCTGTGGTTCATGCACTGTTGCCAGTGTGGTCGTGCCCTGCACTGGCCGTGGTTCAAGTATTGTCACCAGTGTGGCACTGTGCACTGGCTGTGGTTTGGGGCTCGGCCACGTATTTCTGTTTGTGTAGTCTCAGCTTTGGTGTTGGGGCACTTTCATCTGGCTACTGTCTTTTTGATTTTTGAGCACTTTCTTTCTCATGCTATAAGGTACTTTGGGCTCATGCTCCTATGTTTCCTGCCCTAGACCCAGGATCAGCCACTTCTCCAGGGAGCCCTCATTCCTAAGATTGGAGGGTGGTCTTAGAAACTAGAATCTAGGGGGCTGGGGATATAGCTCAGTTGGCAAAGTGCTTGCCTCACATGCACAAAGCCTTGGGTTCAATCCCCAGCACCGAGAGAGAGAGAGAGAGAGAGAGAGAGAGAGAGAGAGAGGGAGAGAGGAGGGAGGGATATATATGAGAATCAAGGCCCAGGTGCTCCTTTTGCTTCTAGGACCTCAGTGGACAGAACTTGCTGATAGATCTGATTACATAATCAGATCTATGTGTCTGTAATCTCTAACCTGGAACATGCTGTTAGGCTGTTGCCACTCTGGGTAAGACCCTGTTGCTCACCATCTGCAGCCCATTTCCTTCTTCATTCAGCCCCAGTGTGCATGCAGAGCACCCTCAGAATTGTTCCTCATATCCCTTAGGCTGGTCAGAAATAAAGTTACCAAGTAGAGCACAGAGTTCTATGAGTTACAGTGGAGTTTTTTGTTTTGTTGTGTTTTGTAAATTCCTTAGGATTATATGTAAACAATTGTATCATCTGTATTGAGACAGTTTTACTTTTTCCTTTCTAAACCTTTTTTTTTTTTTTGGTACCAGGGGTTGACCCTGAGGGGTCCTTAACCATTGAGCCACATCCCCAGCCTGTTTTTGTTTTTTATTTTGAGACAGGGCCTCACTAAGTTGCTGAGCCTTTCTAATGTTTATGGCTTTTCTTTTCTTTCTTTCTTTCTTTTTTCTTTTTTTTTTTTTTACTACATTGGCTAAAACCATAGAACAGTGATAAATAATGTAATGACCTTATTAAAAAGGAGAAAAAACACACGATCACTCCAGTAAATGTTGAAAAAGCATTTGATGACATTTAAACCCCTTTCATGATGAAGGAAAAACCTCTTAGCAAACTAGGAGGAGAAGGGAGCTTTGTCTGTGTGATAAAAGGCATCTGTGGAAGACCTACACTAGATGTTGTACTTAGCAGTGAAAAACATGAAGTACTTTATTCCTAAAATCAAGCAGCTAGCATTGCGCCTGGAGCCCTTACCTTGGCAGTAAGGTCAGAGGTAAAAACCAAGTTGGTTTCATCAGAGCATAGAGGACAAGTAAAACTGCATTTGCAAGTGATGTGGTTATGTAGAGATCCTAAGAGATTTTTTTTTTTAAAAAAAGCTGAGTATATTAAGTAAAATCACGAAGATCTTGGAAATAAAAGTTTATATGCAGAAATTAACTGTTCTGTTATGTATTAACAGCAAACCATTAGAAAATGAAATCAGAAATTCTTTTCTGTTTATAATCATACCAAGAAATAAAGTATTTAGTAGTAAGTCTAACTAAAGATATGCAAAACCTCTTCACTGAGAACACAGAGCACTGGCTGTGGGAAACTGAAGTGACCTAGCATGGGGGAGAGCGTGTTTGAAGTGGAGGACTTGACATTGTTGGAAGACCAGTCCTCCCTGCAGAACTCATGCAAGCCTTTTCTGTGAACTGACAAGCTGATTCTCAAACGAGGATATGCATGTGACCTAGAACGGCCCACACTGTTGTCAAAAGCGGGTTCTTGTGGCCTGACCTCTAGCTGTGTATACGCAGCTTCAGCAACGCAGTATCCTGCAGCTGAGGGGCTGTGCAGTGATGCCGAAGAGGACAGCAGTTGCCCAGCACAGAGACAAGTACAGCAAGGCTGGGATGGCGGTTAGAACAGGTTTACTGCAAGGCCAGGGAAAGACTGAGGGGCACCCTAGACAGGGGTGGGCAGTGGTGAGGGAGAGGAGGCCCAGCCTCCGTGGGTGGAGTGCCACTTAGCCACTGAAAGGCACAGATGTGCAGATCAACAAGGCACTTCCAGAGGCCCTGTGCCATGTGGCATAGCCAGACACAAGCTATACATGCTAAGTGACCCCTTTGTAAGAAGTTCTAGAATACAGCTCAGTGCAGTGGCATATGCCTTTAATCTCAGCGGCTTGGGACACTGAGGCAGGAGGACTGCGAGTTCAAAGCCAGCCTCAGCCACTTAGCCAGGCAGTAAGCAATTCAGTAAGATCCTGTCTCTAAATAAAATACAAAAAAGGGCTAGGGATGTGGTTCAGTGTTAAGCACCCCTGAGTTAAATCCCTGGGACCAAAAAAACAAAGAGATTTTAGAAAGCAGATTTGTGGGTTTTAGAAAGCAGTGGGTGCCTGGGCCAGGGCTGGCAGGAGAAAGGGTTGCAGAGGGCTGCACTGCAGGTGCCCTGATGATGTGCAGTCTCACAGATACGTGGTGTGCATAGCTTTCCAGAACCCCCAGGTTGTGTGTTGTAAGTGGACGAAGTCTGTTGTGTGCCAATTGAACCTCAATAAAATTGACTAAGCAGTGCCAGTGTGACTGGAGTCTTGGACTTTTGGTTCCTTTTGTGACTTGACCTGGCCCTGGTTACCTCTCCCAGAAAGTGAGAAGGGACCCTGACACCAGTTTTCCCCAGGGCCTGGGGAGATCTACTGAGCACATGTTAAATGGACAAAAAGAAAGGATGAGACTCGACCACATCCTGTAGGTGAGGGGCTCCATCTAAGAGGACTAGCCGTGAAGGAGGACTTCAGGAAGTGTGCACTTTTAGTGGGGTGGATCGCTGGCACTCTTCCAGAAAAGGCAAGCGCTGCTTAGGCAGGAGGGCACTGGACCTGGCTTCATAGAAAACTATCCTGCAGGACTGGACACTGTCTGGACCACACCGTGTGGTTACTTTGCCAACAGACCTGGATGAATCTGGCATAAAGCAAATTACAGGACAGATGTGGGCCCCTCCCTGTCAGGGGACCAGAGCTTGTGCCTTCAGTCTTTGCCTTCCTGGGCTGTGTGGACCCCATAGTCCTCTCCCCAGGATCCCCAAGGGGGAACTTGCCCACTACCCTGGGCCAGTCAGAGAGCACCGTTCCTTATTCCCCAGCCTCAAACTGGAACATCTCTGCATTCTTCCTGAGGACCTCCCTGGAAAGGAAGTGGGGACTGCTGCTGTGGAAGAGTGTCCTCGGTGCCAAGGTGTCCTACAGTGTGCTGCTCCCACCCCGCAGCTGTGTTTAAGTGCAGAGTTTCCTGGAGGTAACTAACATGAAAATATGTATCCAGCAGTGTCTGGGACATTACGCCATGAGAATCACCCTGTGAGTTAAGTGAAATTTGTTGAAAGTAATACAAATGGGGGGCTGGGGCTGTAGCCCAGTGGTAGAGCGCCTGCCTTGCACATGTGAGGCACTGGGTTCCATCCTCAGCACTACATAAAAATAAATAAAGATATTATGTCCATCTACAACTAAAAAAAAAAAGTAGTACAGATGATATCACTTCAAGGTTGTGTGGTGGGTGCTGCTAATGCTCTCTCTTATGTTACAAATGTGAGGTGAAGCCAGGCCTGCTGACCTGGGATCCCAACAACTGGGGAGGCTGAGGCAGGGGAGATCCCACGTTCCAGGCCAGCCTCAGCAATTAAATGAGACCCTGTCTCAAAAAAAAAAAAAAAAAAAAAAAAAAGGACTGGGGATACAGCCCAGTGGTAAAGCACCCAAGTTCAGTCCCCAGTACCAAAAAACAAACATGTTGTGACTACTAAGCCACATGATGGTCAGGTGTCAGGAGTTAGGGTGAAGAAGTCTCCTTGCACTGTGTTTGCTCCCGGGGTCCCTCCGCCCAGGACTAGAACTTTTTGAACTCTAGCATTATTCTGGACCTATGTCTGCCTGCCCTAGGGACCTAGCCACCCATGGGAAAAAGTCTGGGTGACAGTGCCCAAGACTCCAACAGAACCTTGAGAGGTGTCATCTGGTCTTGGGAGACCAGAGATGCAGTGCCCTCGTTTGCAAACGCCAACCCAGTGAACCTGTTGGCGAGAGATCAGGATGCCCCTCTGACCAACTCTGGACTCACCTTGCTGGGAAAGTGGTCTTTACAGTGACCAGCAGCAGGCCTCACCTAATGGTCTTGATTCACAGGCCTTGGACCCTGGGCCTGCAGAGCTCAACGGTCAGGCCGATGAACTCCACGCCCTCTGGCCAGGCTTTCTACTGAGCACCTGGGTGAGGAGCTGATGTCTGCAGCTCTCATCCTGGAGGGGCAGGTAAGGGTGCCCTGGACCGCACCCACAGACCTCACAAGGCAGGGGCCTGTGCGCATGCCCCTGCTTGCCACAGCCCATCAAGCCTGCCAGGTCCTCCCCAGCTCTGGGCACTCTCACTGGCATTGCAGCCCCTCCCCTTTCTCACGCTGCACCCCCCACTTCAGAGCTGCTCCTTTTGCAGCCCCGCCCCTTCCAACTATGGCTCCACCTCCCTGACATGTTCCCGTCTTTTCCTGCTTGTGTCCCTGGCACTGCCCTCCTCTCTCGCAGGCCCCGCTGTCCTCCTGCTCCTGGCATGGCACTGCAACGCTTCACGCTCCTGGCTGGCCTTCTGGTGGGAGTTGCCAGCAAGTCCACAGAAAGCGAGGTTGGTGTTCCTGTCACATGTCCAGGTGGCCATTCTCCAGGGAGGCAGTGGGCCCTTCCCCTTTAACCTTAGGAGTCTTGGCACTCAGCCCTAGGGATGATGGAGTTCCCTGCTGGGGTCCAAGGGGCTTGTATCTTGAAGAGGGCAGCAGACATGCCCCCATATGGTGGCTGTTTGGTTCTACCTTCTAGAAGACTGCCAGACCTACTTGTTTCTGTAGAGCACACAGGGTCTCTGCAGATGCAGCCTGGAGCTGCCTGCCCACTTGCTACTTGTTCAGGAGAGCAACAGTGGGGTATCATGGCTCTGCCAAGCTGGTGACACTCCAGTATGCTGAGCTTTGGTGTCCAGAAGAGCTGAGCCAGGGCCAGGTGGCAAGAGGGTGGGGCATCCCTCACTGACCGGACCAAGGCTAGTGTGAGGGGGCAGCCACTGGGCCTCGGCCCCTCCTATGTGCCCTTGATGCTGCCCTGTGTCACTCACACTCCTCAGATGCCCCTCACTATTCACCAAACTAAAGTCACAGGAAACAATGGCCCAGCAGTGACAGTAGATCACACCTGGGGACACCCCTGCCTCAAGGTCTGTCAGCTGCCCTGCTGTCAGTGAAGGCCAGCGCTCAGCAGGTGTACTGTACATGGGTTCAAGGGTTGGGCCTGAGTTCATTTCCCCTGAATGGCTGACCTGGCCTGGGCACTTTGTCTGAGACCAAGCTGCAAAATCAAGGGGCATAGATGGAATTGCAGAGGGCATCAGTGAAGTGCCCATCCCTGTGGGGGTATGTTGGTCGTGCCAAGCCTTGGCAAGGCCCTGGCCAGCCTCCCAGTATTCATCGTGGTCCAGAAGAGTGTCCTTTTTCTCAAGACCGTGTCATTAGAACTGGTACTACAGTTCCTGGAGTGACTGATATTAATGATTCACTGACAGGAGTGTCTGCCCTGTTTCTCCCTGTGGCCCACAAGGTGAGAGGTTGAGGCTGGAGCAGCTCTGCCCCGACCAGGGAGACCCTGTGGAGAAGGGGCCTTGGCCACCTCAACTTCCCTAGTGAGGTCTTAAGGGCAGGGAGAGGAGACCCCATGAATGTACGCCCACAGCCTGGGACATCTCCCCAGGTGGGGCTGGACACCTTCCTACCCCCGTAGGTGAGGAAGTGTTCTTTTCCTCAGCCGTGTGACTGAGGCACCTGCGACAAGGGACAGACGTATGAGAGAAAGCCTTTGAATGTGAGTTTTACATTACATGGGAGCCTTCATAAGGAAACGGTGTCCCAGAGAAGTGGCGATGCTGAGTGATTGTGCGCAGGCCTGAGGAAGAGGGATGGTCCTGACCAAGTGTGCTGGATGGAGAGTGTGATCTGATGGCCATGAACCAGGATCTGTCCAGGCGGGTTGGTCAAGATTCTTCTCTGTATCTTTCTCTCCTTGGGCATGGGCAAGGCCCTCTCCCTTGGGGTCTCCTGGTCTGCCTGAGGGACAGAGGGCAGAGGAGGTCAGAGAGACCTGCTTTTGCTCTTTCTCAAATGCACAGAATTCTGAGTCCTATCACCTCCAGGCCGCAGTGCACATCAGGCTCCCAGGGCCTCTCCTGCCTGGCCTTTGGGAGTGAGGAGGCTGCTGTGGAACCTGTCTGGTGGGTCTGGGCCCCAGGCAGTTCATGTGGTCATCCAGTGTTCAATGGCCACACGCCCTGCACAGCTCAGACAGTGCTATCCTCACCTTGGAGGGGCGTCCAGGGCCACGGGGGAGAATGGAACAGTGACTCTTGAGATATGTCTGGTCAGTCGTCCAGTCTCCACCCTGCTGCATGGGATCTCCCTGGCTCACTCTGTACTACACTGAAGTTTTCCCTGGAGACTGCCCAGAGTGGGGCTCTTGCAGGGGCAGGCATGTGTCCTCGCCTGCTTCTAGGCCAAGGGGGAAGCCGGGAGCCTGTTGCTGACTAGAAGAGGCAGAGCCATGAACGCTCACAGTGGACTGACAGTGTTGCCCTTGCAGAGCCTGCTATTGTCACCCCTCCAGGCCCAGCAGCCTGAGTGCTGTGTGGACGTGATGGACGCCAACACCACCTGCCCAAGCACAGGCCTGTGTGGCCCAGGTGAGCCACTTTGTCATAAGCAGTCCCCTGAACAGCTATCAAGCCACCAGCCCATGGTAGGCATGTGTCCCTGCCTGCCCCTCTTCAGTGGTGAGGACAAGAAGGGTTTAGCCCCAGTACAGCTCATGTCCAGTGCTAGCTTCCAACACCCACTATCAATATTTATGGACTCTATGTCTCTGGCCTCAGTGCTGTGCTGAATGTTGGAAAGAAGTACAGGAATGATACCCAGTCGCTACCCTTACAGGAAGCTGGAAGACAGCTGCTCACAGGCTGTTGGCCAGTAGGAGCTAGGCCACTCCAGCACCTGGGCAGGGAGAGGGTGGGACTTCAGGTAGTGAGAGTCTGATAAGGAAATTTGGCTTGATCCTGCAGGGAGACCCTGGGGGGGGGACAGTACAAGGATGCAGTAGTTTCAGATGAGGGTTGTATCTGCCCTGAGTGGGTCCCAGTGAGTGTGGAGTGCCTGAGGCAGCTGCACGCATGCCCTGAAGGAAGTGGTCCTGGGGGAGCCGTGGTCCATGAGCCTGGGTGGCAGGAGGTGGAGGCCAGGCCTCCAGTTCTCCAGAGCATGAGGCCACCACACTGTTAATCTCAGATTCCCATCACCAGCCTCTGGACTGTCTCTTAAGGTGTTCAGCAAAGGATGCGGCCTCCTCAGCACCAGGCCTCCACAGGAATCTGGGGCCAGAGTGACGTGCTTCCTGTGGTGTTTGTTTCTTTCTCTGGAGTTAGAGCCTTTTGTTCCACCCAAACTTCCAGTGTCCGTGTTTTTGAGTGATGGTTGATTTATAAACTCAAAAGATACAGAAATGCTCCAGGATACAGTGGACTGGCCTGGATTCTGCCTCTGCTGAGAGCCGCCTGCCTTCTGTGTAGGCTGCTATAGACGCTGGAACGCGGACGGGAGCACCAGCTGCATCCGGTGCAGGAACGGGACGGTGCTGACCTATAACAGCTCTGAGTGCAGAAGCCGTATGTCTCCCAGATTGCTGCCCCCATACTCCTCCCAGGTCCTGGACTTCTCACAGGGGTCCACATCTCCAATTTTGGGGAAACTGGAGTGGCCGCCCTTGTCCCCACAGAACCACTATCCATCAGCAAATAGCCCCCAGGAGCCCTTTCTTCCTGAGTCCTGTGTCCATGAGGAGCAGCTGTGGGGCGAGGACTCTCTAGTGTCTGGTCTGAGGTTCAGGCAGGGTTGGGGTCTTGCTGGGGTCCTGTGCCTGGCCCTGGCCTCCCCTCTGTTCTGCTCCCCACAGTTGCTGCCTGGGGTGCGCAGTTCCCCATGAACAGAAGCACAGGGCTGCCTGGACGGCCACATTTTGGTAAGTCTTAATTCACCTGGCCAGAGCCAGGCCTGGGGTAGAGGCTCCTTAGAGCCATTGCAGCACAGACCCTGACAGGGTACTGATGGGCCACGATCAGACTTCAGACCCAGCCATGCGCTCTGTGACAGGGACCCTGACCATGAAATAGGGATTTCTGAGAATCCAGTGGCTCATGAGGCTGAGGTCTGAGGGCTGAGTGTGGCAGGTACTGGGTGTGCCCTGGTGTGGGGGGGTGCCATATCCTCCACGGTCTCAGAAGGGCTGTTGGTGGAAGCCTTCACTGCCGCACCTTCTGTCTGGTCCTTGCCTCATCCCATGGCTGCCATGGCCCCTGTGACCTCAGGCCCCAGCAGGAGTCTGCCCATCCCCAGTGGTGTTTCCAGGGCATAGGCTTCTAAGACGGCAGGCATATGGGCCACACAGAAATGCCTGCCACAGCACTGTCCTCGGGATGTTCCCTGTCTCTAGGTAGTCACTTCTCCCTGGCCTGCAGTCTACTTGAGTTGAGGGCCTGGTCAGGCCGGGGGTGGGGGTGTGGGTAGGAGTGGCTGGGGAGGGTGGGACCAGGTGAGAGGGAAGATCCGGACAAGGCAGGAGCTGGGACAGGGGCCAGCACCCAGGGGGAGGGCACCATAGTCAGGGAGTGAACCCAGCTCCAGAGCAAGGTCGCCTCCTTTGCTTGAGGTGACTGAGTTGCTGTGGGGAACATCATCCCAGCCACTCATCTAGCAGCCCTGGGCTGGACCTGGGTCCGAGATCTTAGGCTCAGAGCTCTGTTCTGAGAGGCTCAGCTCTTCCCAGGAATCTGAGCCTGGACTTTTCCTCCCCAGAAAATACGTTTGAGCTCCAAGGTGGCCTCAGGCCCAGCACTGGCCTGGACTGCAGAAGCCAGCAGCACAGAGCAGTGTCCCATAGGGAGGGGCCAGCTCTGACAGCTCATGGCCTCCTACAGCACAGGGCTAGTGGGATGGCAAGGCCATGGCTCTGGCAAGGGCACCTGTGCCTCAGGGTGAAAAGGTGGCTTCCCCAGGCACCTAAAGCATCTCCTCTATCCCATGGTCACAGATTGTCCACAGTCCTTGGCCCTGAGCCATCCTGTCCTGACACTGAGCAGGTACAGATGGGCAAGGAGCAGCTGCCAGCACCCGAGAGGTAGAGTGTGGCAGAAGCACCTGCTGCAGGTTGGAGCTCTGACCCTGCACAGTCTCAGGGGGAGCCTAGGGTCTGAACTTCTGGAGCATGGAATTCATGAAGGCTTCTTCCCCTTTTACCTTCCCCCTCCCTCTCCCCAGGAAGCCTGGGCCTCTGTCCAGGTGTGCTGGCCCCTTGCTCCCTGTGAGGGCTCAGGTGTGTTCAGGAACGGTGGCCTGGGTTGGGCGTGTTGAGACTGGCCACTAGAGTGGCTGATTTGCCTGTAGGGGGTTCCCACGTAGCAGCTTCCCTCTTCCTGGGGACGTTCTTCGTCAGCGCAGCTCTCATCCTCTGTGTGGCTGGGTTCTTCTACCTCAAGCGCTCCAGTAAGCTCCCCAGGGTCTTCTACAGGAGAGACAAAGGTACTGCACCCCTCCTCCTCCCACTCAGGGGCCTAGGTGCTGCCCAAAGGGACAGAGCAAGTGCCAGGACCCCTCTCTGCCTACCCTGCACCAACATTTGGGTGCCTTCTGGGGGCTACTATAGCTTCAGGTCCTGAGAGTCCAAGGCTGGGCTTCTGCTGCTGGTAGGAGTCTTGGGGTCTCCAGTCAAGATAGGTGCCTTGGGGTCAGCTCCCAGAAATGCCCACCCAGCATTTCTGCCTTCCAGGCCATCCCTAGAGCAGAGTCGACCCTGGGTGTGGCCATCTCAGGTGGCCCAGGGAACCCCAGTGGAGGCACCCATGCCCTTATGAATAACTTGGGGCTGATGGCCACTGCCTCACTTGCAGCACCTCTGGGAACCCAGAGGATGGAGGGGTCTCTGTCCCCCACACTGGGTTCTTTGAGCCAGAGAAACCACCTGAGGAGCATGGCTTGTATGCTCTGGGAAAGTGGGAGGGAGGTTTCTGGGAGGTGGCTCTTCCTGGGATGCTTGAGTGGCTTGCCCCAGGTGCAGGCCATGAATGTGGCAAAGCTGAGACTCAGCTGAGGGCACTGCTGGGCAGAAGAGTGGAAGTGGTACCAGACCCAACCTGGATCCTGGGAAGAGCCTCTGCCTGCCTGTGGACCTCACTGGATGCAGGCAGCTGCTTGGCTCCAGGGTGATGTGCTGTTTTCTTCTGCAGCCCCAGGCCTGCAGCCTGGCGAAGTCGTAAGTAGTCCACACCCTCCCGGCTGAGCGTCCTGGGCTCCGTGTCCCATGCTGAGCACCCAAGATCTCACTCTGCCTCTCTCTCCTTTCAAGGCTGCAATGATCCCCCCACCACAGTCCTCAGGTAAAGGCAGGTTATGTCACCCGGGGGTTCTTGTCTCTGGGCCAGTTTCCAAATGCCAGACCCAGGGACCTCTACAGGTTTGTCCCTAGACACACATGCCCCCCTCTTGGGTCCCAAGGAGACCACTACATGAAGGAGGGACCCCTGGTGCCCATCAGCCTACATGGCTGTGTGCTGCCCCTTCCTCTTCAGGTATTGAGACTGAGAGAGGAGAACCCAACACAGGGCCAGACCTTCCCCTCACTTCCTCCAGCCCTGCTCAAGTCCATCTCTGCTTGAAGGGTACAGGGAGCAGGTCAGCCCCTGGGTCTTGCCCCACCAGGCACCCCCACCCAGTTGTGACCCACTATAAGAGGAGACTGTGAAGCTAAGTCCCTGACCACAGTCACAGCTGTGAGCCCAGAGCAGAATCACCCAGCCTCCCTCCCCAGGCCATGCTCTTCCCACTGTGCAGAGGTCTGGGCGGGGACAGGCAGCGTGTTCCTCTCCTCTGGGGCAGAGCAGTTCCTAACCAAGGCCCAGCCTACCTGTTCCAGGCAGCACTTGGCTCAGGTCTGAAGCAGCCTCATCCACAGCATCTGCAAGAGCACAGGGGCCCCAGGTGGCTGGGGCCTCATGGCAGAGTATACCCCAGGTGGCTTAGACAGCAGGAGCTCTCTGACAGCTCTCAAGGTTGGAAGTTAGAAACCAAGGAGTGGGAGAGGGGGACACTGGCTCCCAGGTCTGTGGGACCCTCCTACCTTCTCAGCTCCTAGGCAGTTAGGTGTCCCTGGGCTGTGACTGCCTCCCCTCTGTCTCTGCTCCCTCTGAGGAGGACACTGGGCATGGCATTTAGGGCCCACCTGGTTGAGGCAGGAGGGTCTCATCTGAGATCTAAATCACATCTTCCCAGACCTTTTTCCCAAATGAGGTCACACTTGCAGGCTCTGGGGCTTAGGACATGGTCCTAGAAATGCATAATGCCTGCACTTTAGTCTTAAGGGACAGCCGGGCCCTGATCCAGGCCCAGATGTGTGGGTGCAGGGTCCCAGGGTTTAATGGGAAACAGCCAGGCTAGGCTCCCGGGGGCATCTGGCAGGAGGAACTGTCTCTTGACAAGTGGGAGCCTGTGGGAGCTCTAAGGGCAGGAGCGCCTGGTCTCTTCCTTGGTCAGAGTCAACAGGCCCCTGTGGTGGCCCACACCTCCAGCTACATCCTCAGCCGTCCTCGAGCCTCTGTCCCTGGCTCTGACACAGCTCATCTCTGACCCCATTTCAGTGCGAAAACCAAGATATGTCAGGCGCGAGCGGCCTCTGGACCGGGCCATGGACCCTTCTGCCTTCTCCACAGCAGAGGCCCGAGTCAGCAACGTCTGACCTGGAAGCTGATCAAGACTGCACTACCTGCAGCTCTGAGGCTGGGGGACTCCTCAATGAGCCCCCCACACAAAGGGCTTGTCACCTGGGGCTTGGGACAGGCCAGACCTGGCTCCCAGTGAGTGACAGGCTGAATGGGAACCACCCACTGGTTCTTGAAAGTCCTTTTGCTCCATCCACACTGCTTGGTTTGACCAACAGGAGCGGGCAGATGTGAGACTGGGGGCTCAGGCCACCGCCAGACCCACATAGCCAGAACTGTTAGCAGACGGCAGGGGTCACTAGGCTGCTTTGCACCTTGAGAAACCAGGGGAGGCTCTACCCTCTGGAGTCCATGGTAGCAGGACCCCTCCAGAACCCCCAGCCCAGTGGCCCCCACAGACCCTCTAAGAGGAGTGAAGCTGAGGCCTGGCCGGCAGGCAGGACGTGGCTGTGAACCAGCTGCCTAAGTCTGAGGCCTCCAGGTCGTCTTGCTCCTGTGGTGGCTGGGAGGCCACAGCCACACCCTCAGGAGCTACAGAACTGAGTTCCCTGAGGCACTGCTGTCCCAATCCCAGTCCTTGCACCCCAGGCATGACACACTGGCCAGCAGACACCCAGGCTGGGCACCCACAGTGTCCACACATGGGTCTTCCACATCCGAATCCCCAGGTTTTCGGGCCCGTGGAAGGCATGCTGGCCAGCGGCCCTTGCCCGGTGGTCCTGTCCCAGCCATCCCAGGCCACCAGACACTGCCTGCACATGGCTAGCTTGGCTGGGGCCACCAGCCCAGGCTTCCTGTAGAGGAGGCTCGATGGTGGCCGCCTCCTACGTGCTGGGCTCAGCACTTAGTGGTCTGTCACCGTCCTCAGGTGTCCTGCCTCATTTCCATTGAGCCTGGCCCACTTCTTGGGGACGTGGCTGTGCTCTTGGCACTGTGATTCTGTGTGCAGCTCATCATCCGCGAGTGGTGGACTTGATCTCCGAGGCTGGCCAGCCACTGGCCCAGCAACAGGGGTGGGGTCCCCATCTGAAGTCAAGTCGAGTAAACTATTCAGAGCTTCTCCTTCCCTGCCTTCTCAGGGTCCTAAGGGTCATCTGTTCTTTTAAAAATGTGTGGCTGCCACCCCCTTCCAGGCCGGTACCACCCACCCCACTGCCATATGCAGGGGACAGGGAGACAGCAGGATCCAGGAGTGCTACTACCTAGTTCCTAGTCAGGGGCCTCAAATCGGGGACTGCCTGGCTCCTGCCAAGGGCCCACCCCTGAATTCACCCCTTCAGCTCTCAGGGTGTCCCCCAAAAGACAGCTTGCTCCAAATCCCCTTGTTGGAGAGGGCCACCCGAGGTTCCTGGGACCCAAGATGGGAAGATGTGGGCATCTCTTCTGGGCTGTTGTGGAGAAGAGCCAGGCCTGGCAGGGGCATGCAGACAGGGCCATGGAGACCTGGCAGGGATTGCCAGGCCTCATTCACACCCCTAGAAACCCTCAGGATGAGGCTACAAATAGCAGTTTATGGGCTTGACTCACCCTTGGGGAAACCCCCGTGTCCTGGCCACTTGAGCCCAGGGCAGCAGTCCCTCCTCAAGCCCACAGGTGGACAGTTCTTTGGGAGGCTGGTGGGCATGAGGGCATTTGCTGATGGGCAGCAGAACTGGCCAAGGAGGGCAAGCTGGAGCAAGGCAGTTACTGGCCCTCCCCTGGGCACTGAGAGTCTGCCCAGAGGAGGGCAGAGCACCTAACACTTGGAATGCCCCGAGTCCTGGCCCTGCCCCAGCCCCTCTGCGCAGACTATGGACTGGGGGTTGTGTCTTCAGATACCTGCTGCCGCCCAGCCTCAGAAAGGCCCAGCCTGAGGTCTGTCAACCTGAGAAGTGCTTGGGAACAAGGCCCCCAGTAGGCCTACCCCCCATCACCTTGTTCTGGGAACAAAGGACCCCACCCTGGAGACAGAACATGAGGAGCAGCGAGAACCACAGGAGGGAGTCTGCCAGTGTGCCTCTTTGCACCCGGGACCTCCCCAGGGCCAGGCCACCCTGAGGTACCTGCAGCAGGACAGGTGCTTTGGCCAGACTGAGGGACCCCCAGCGTGATTTTTAAAAATATTTTTTAGTTGTAGGTGGACACAATACCTTTATTTTTATGTGGTACTGTGGATCAAACCTGGTGCCTCTCACGTGCTAGGCACTGAGGCACAACCCCAGCCCCACCAACATGATTTCTGATGGCAGGTAGGAAGGGACATTTTGTGGCAGACAGAGAAGGCCCCCTCCCTCTCTGGTCATCCTGAGCAACCTCTGCCCAGGCCCTTCTCACTCATGCTGACCTGGGACCTCTCCCTCACCTCCACCCATGGCCAAAATTGGAAACAGAGGTCACTGCAGCCCCCCACCCTTCATTCCCTTACCTGCTCATTCAGTATTCCCTGGGCAGCACTGGGGGAGGTGCCCAAGCTGACCAGGGAAGGATCAGCTGAGCCAGGACTCAGGTGGACCTGAGAGTGATGTCGGGTGGTGGGCGCACAGTTAGATGGGGCCTGGGTCTGGGGCTGCCTGGGCTCTGAGCCTCAGTGGGGTGTGTACCAGTCAGGCTCAGCAGATGGGGGTTCTGAGCAGGGGCTATCAAGAGATCTTTGGGGACTGCAGTTTCACTGCTGAGTACAAAAGGGACAATGCTGTGCAGGCTGCCTCCTTTCCAGAGGTTGGGGACCAGGCCTGGTGCCAGCCCCAGAAGGTGGGGCAAAGGGCAGACCCGAGTGTGCCTTCCACCCCAGAGCCTACCTTCCCCTTCCAGCTTCTGCCTCCATCCATACCTGGGCCTGCGTGAAAGCGTCCCAGCCTGCAGCCAGCAGAGCCACTGTGACATGCAGACAGCCTCAGGTGCAGCAACTCGGGGAGGGTGGGCAGTCAGCAGAGTGACCAGCACCAGGCACACCAAGTCCAGCACTGTCAGAAATGGGAGGCCAGCGTCACCCATGGCCCTGGAAGTGGGAGAGCCGTGAACCATGGGCTTCAGGGTGCTCCTTCAAGGCCGTGCTCTCCTGGACTCACCTGCACAAGGACAGCTCCTGCATCTGCCACCCACATTAGGTGGGGAGGGATGAGTGAGGGCCTTGCCCAGGGAGCCCCCAGGGTGAGGGGTAGGGGGAGAGGAGACAGGAGAGTGAGGCAGACCCTGTGTGCACACATGCACCCCCATACACTTCATGCATGCACAACGCTCACTCGGCCATTGTTAGGGTGCTGGTGCACACACCCCATTCGCTCGCTTGCCTACTCATGACGTGGTAACAGGTGTGCCCCACCCACTGCCCTGGACACAGTCTGCCAAGTCCCCTCACTGCTGGGTGGGACTCCCCCAGGCCCAGGTGGGGGAAGGCAGGGATTCTGGCCCCACCTCTGCAGCAAGGCCTGGTGCATTCCTTGGGCCTCTATGTCACACTCGCCTCTGGGTACTGACTGTCCCCTGAGGAGCCCGGTGACCTCACAGTGGCAATAGTCACAGGAGCCTGGGGAGGAGGTTTCAGGGCAGCCAGGAGTCTACTTCCTGGAGGGCTTGTGATGCTGAGTCACTTGGCTCGCAGAACTGGCTCCCGGGGCTGATCACAGCACCCCAGGAGCCCCTGACCCTGCTCAGGGAGCCAGTCCCTCTCTAGTCACTCCCTCCTTCTGGTCCCCACCCCTCTCTAGCACCCCAACTGCTCTCTGTTCCCCTACTTCCTATCTGGGCCCTCTCTCTCTGGCCCCCATCTCCTTTCCCGGCCCTGAGGTTTCTCTCCACTCCAGGAGCAGACAGGGAAACTTAGGTCTCTTCCTGAGGTCAGGTTCCCCTCTGGTAAGGCATCACCCCCCAGCTCCCCCTCAGGCCCTGGGAGTCTTGTCCTTGAGCACCAGGATTTTGGGGAGCAACACCGCAGGGGCTTCTGATGCCCAGTCCACTGAGGTGGTCAGTGGTGCCTGCAGGCGGGTGGGCCCCCAAGGAGCAGGGGCATCCCTTGCCCTAGAATGGTCCCTCTCACATTGTGCCCTTTCCACAGGCCTGTGTGTGGGCTCCAACCGCAGAACCCGGGTTCTTGCTAGCAGTAGGGCCCACATCCCCAGTTCAGCATCACTGGTGAATTGACCACTGTGCTTAGGCAGAAGGCAGGGAAACCTCGGGACGTGGGAGGAGAGGCTAACCATGACAGAAAGGGTGGAGAGGGGCCCACATCCATTGGAGGGATCCAGGTTGGTCATCTGGAGTGGAGTGGGCAGTACACCTCCGCTCACAATGGGCGCTCAGGTGCTGGCGAGGGGGTTGTCTGTGCCACTGGCTACCTGCTTGGCCCATCCGGCTTTGGTGTAGTCCCCTCACCCTCCCTCCACTCTAGCCTCAGCCCTAGGTGAACACTGACACCAGCCCGGGCCTTTGCCCTGTGGTTGACTAGAGCCCCGTGCTGACTGGCCAGAGCCAGGAAAGCTGCTGCGATCCTCTGCTGGACCCGGGTCTCCCTCAGCCCCTGGTCCCTGCCCCACGGTACACAGTGCGGGAGCGGGGGAGGCGTCTTGCCCACAAGCTGCTGTGACCACCCAGATCACAGATGTCCTTGCTCTGATTTCATCCTCAAAGTTGCCGCTCAGGCCCTGCCTGGCCTGGACCTCTCACCTCACTTCCTGGACCCCAACAGAGGGAGGCTGGGCTGGAGTGGGGCCCCGGGCCGAGGCAGAAGAGTGCTAGGCGTGAGAATCCTGAGGATAGTCACAGGTGGATGGGTGGGAGGCGGTGCAGCTTCTGGGGAGGCAGGTGACAAGCTGGGCTGTAACTGTGAGGTGTTTGTGGGTTCCCCTGCTTTGGGCCCACCCAGGAGCCATGGGCAGCCGGAACCAGAACAGAGTGGACAGACCTGCTTCTGCACCCACCCAAGTCCAGAGCCCCATGCTGCAGAGGCCTGGGCTGACCCCAGACGCAGAACCTCTGATCCCCATGCGGCCATGCCTGTCCTGCTGGGTAAAGAGGATGGCCAGCCACTCCTGAAGCCCAAGCCACACCCCCAGCCACCCTGCAGGTATAAAGGCACCTGCTCACAGCTCATGCCTTGAGAACTCACACCTGTCCCAGACAGCCCACACCAGGACAGGCATACGCATCCTCTACTCCTGACAGCCACGGTACACTTGCCAGTACCTCAGGACAGCTGCTGGCCACTGGCCCCAGGAGAGACACCGGCCAGGTGGAGCAGAGGCCAAGCCAGGACTGGAGGAGAGGGAGCAAACAGTATTGGAGCTGGGGAGCCCAGAGGCTCAGAACCCCTCTGTGGTCGGTGGAGAGGATCATGCCCAGGAGCTACTGACCCCCCGCTGCCAGGTAAGGCTGCTCAGCCTGTCCTCACCCTTCACCTGAATAGGCCCAGGGCGGAGCACCTCTGTGAGGGTGAGGCCTGGTGCCAAGGAGCAAGTTCTGTGGGAGAAAGGTGGGGGAGGGCAGTCCCGAGGTCCTCCCAGGCTCGGCCAGGGCCACAGCTCTCCCTGAGATGTGGTGACATCACATGCCAGGAGCCTGGGGCCCTCGTGACATCACGGTGATGTCAGGTGACTCACAGGATCACAGTGACAATTTAGCAATGCCTGCACCTTCCAGCTGCCCCCAGGACTGGCCAGTAAGCCTAGATCAGGGCCAGGAAGGCAAGGGGCCACCTCTAGTGAGGCCTCCTGGCTCCATGGTCCTGGGACCAGAGCCTTTGAGATGAAAGGCATCGTCACTTGTCTGTCCTCTAGGCAGGACCCTGTGGCTGGGGAGGGGCAGCAGGCAGGGCAGGGCAGGTGTCTGGTCAGCGGGGTCTTCTGAGCCCATCAGGGAAGTAGAAATGGCCATGGAAGAGAAGGCCCTGGACCCTTCAACATCCTGCTTCCTCTTCAAGGGGCAGCCATGACCTGACATTCAAGGGCACAGAGAGGATGGCTGAAGCCTGCTTCACCCTAGCCGGGGGGCATTTCCAGTCCCTGGTCATGGGCACAAGACCCTGGTCACCAGCCAGACAAGTGGGCCCCAAAGTGTCCAGGGTGCAGCTGGGAAAGCCCTTCCTTGGAATCTCACGCAGG